AACGGGGTAAGTCCAGCTTGATCAAACTTTTGCACTTTTAATGATCACCAGCTTCATCCTGATCCTGAGGTCTTGACCACTTCTCTTTCACATCTCATCTCTGTGACTGTCTCTGGTCACAGTTGCTCAATCCTTCTGCCTAGGTTGTCTTCTCCATCCACGTTTATACATAAATAATAGAAAGTAACTAAGAAAACTTAAAACTTGCTGGTTCAGACAACTGAGGACAGGACACTTCAGGTCTAGCTCTGGACTCTGTCTGGCCACCACTTCTCACTAATCATTAAGTGCTTTAACTTCTATCTTATATATTTGCTAAACATAGAAGAGAAAGGAAGGACTTGTTCAAAGGAAGATAGCACAGAGTCCTCTGTACAGGTCAGGGACCGCTACGGGCAGATGTGCATTGCTAATTTTTCTCTCTTCTTCAAGAACCTGGCTTATAATGAGAATTTATTATTGATATATAATCCCATTTAACTAGACATCTATTACTGCTAGCTGACAGACATCACAGTGTCTCTTGCCTTTGCACCCACTCAAAGATGACAGTCTTTCCAGCAGGCCTGCGAAGATGTGCTCCCGCCAGGACAAAGACCAGTGCCACCGGCAAGAATGGTCCTCATGCCACAGCAGTGAAGGGTGCCACAGGAGCAACAGTGGATCTGGATGCCACGGGAGCAGCGGTGGATCCAGTTGCCACGGGAGCAGAGGATCCGGATGCCACAGGAGCAGCGGTGGATCTGGATGCCACGGGGGCAGAGGATCCACATGCCACGGGAGCGGTGGTGGATCTGGATGCCATGGGAGCAGTGGGGGATCCTGCCATGGAAAGCCACAGGACTGCCAGCAGCAAATTTATCAAGTATCCTCAAAGATGAAGTGAACAGGACATTATCTTCATGATATACACATGCATGTCCTTGATCTTGTGCTGAGTTCAGAAAGCTTTGCATGTCTCCTAGCAATCTTCAAAGAAAATGTCTCCTCTCTCTCCCCTGGCAAGTCCTGTACCTCTGATGAGCTTATCTGTGGGTGCTAAAATAAACTGTGTACATTCACGCTGGCGCGGTTTTCCCTGTATCAGTCTGTGACTATATATGAGCCATTACAATTCGGAGTTCATGAGAGTTTTGTGTTCATGATTCTTCTTTCACCTTATATTTCATATCACAACACAAGACACCTTGTGCTTGTTTTAATAGCCCTGAAGTTACCCTGCCCGGACACAGGCAATGGGGGTAGGTGCTGCCACGCTCTCCCCTATGGACTCCAAAGGAAAAGAGAGACAATAAAGATTTTTAAAAGCTGACATTTTAGGATGCCATCTCAGGCCTCTGCAGTGCAGGCAGCTCTCCTCCATGCTGCCTTCCTGCAGAGCTGGACACCCAAAACCCCCCACCAGGACCACAGGGGCTGCATTGCACAAGCCCTGAGGGCCAGCTATGAGCACAACCATGGGGCAGAAAAAGTCCTATAGGCAAAGGCACCGGTGATGGGGCAGAAACCCCTTTTTTTGCCGTCTGGCCCCAAGACGCCCTCCTTGGGGCAGGTATCTCCGCATGCGTGCGACAAACCCCCCAGCAGGCCTTTCCAGAAACCCTCTGCCCAGCACTTCAAGAGCCCTGTGTCAAGCCAGGGGTGTTGCAAGATGCTAGCATTACACAATGAACTGATAAATTTCTTCTCGGCTCGTAATTAAAATGAATTGTGTAATTTATTGGTCTGGTTATTGCCATTCATGAAATGGATGTTGCCCTGATAAGATTGCTCTCAAGTGTGTCATGATGATCAGAAATATCTGGCATTGCTGAAAAGGGTGCAGACAGCAACTAACTCCCTGCTGCCTGCTTTCGGTGTAGGAATCATTTGAAAAGGCTGGTTGTGCGAGTCTGGCATTTGCATTAAGCCCCCATTGCAAACCCCATTTTGAAGGCATGTTAAGGTGGACAGCCACAAAATCTAGAGGTGCCCAGGACTGCTGGCCGGGTGCTGCTGATCTTTAACAAACTCAGAACAATTAAAACATAAGGAACCGAATACAGCGCAATGTTGAGAGCCAAAAATTACTTTGAGTCTTTTTTCATGGAGAGTATTTACCATATTTCTTCTGATGCCAGAACAAAACACGATTAAACAGCAATGATCAAACCTGGGTACAGTTTGCCCTGACACTGTTCTGGTTCATAATAGCAATTAAGCAATACAAAAGAAGCATTTAGGTTGCGTGCGTGATTCATTAACCCTGCCCTGTCTGCCCACCTTTCCAAAAATCCTTCGTGTTTCGGTAACAGCAAATGTGTCGGATGTCCTTCAGGTTGCGGGAGCCGCTCAGGACTTGCAGTCCCTTAACGAAGGTTTGGGCACCTGCATTCAAAGCAGGAGCTCACAAGAGGCTGGAGAGGCACCTCGGTGCCTGGCAGCTTGTTTAGTTTTCCAGCCACTTCCCAAAGGGGGCCAGGTCTCTCAAACAGCATTAGCAAAGGCGGGATGGGGCTGAGCCTTCATCTCACTGTGGTCAGCATCTGGGAATAGCATAAAAACTTAATCAGCATGGAGGAAGAGAAATAAAAGGCAGGAGAGGTGGACCATAAATACCAAATGCTTGAGCATCTCTGCGGGCAAGTGAAATATTTTTCAGCCAGTGTTTTCCAAGCATTTTTGCACTGACAAAATCTTAGCAGTTCCCTATTTCAGCTAGCAATACTGATTTTAGTCTTTTAGTTGCTGCCTGTTTAATTACTGAAATGTCTTCCACAAGTAGTGGCAGAAAAGGGCAAAACAAGATCCGTGGTCCTAAGCACTTCCTAGCCCACGCAGCAGAGGTACAGGAAAGGTACAGGAAGTATCTCAAATTATTGCTTGCCATTAGCTCTCACTGCAAACATGGTACCTGGCCTGGCCTGAAGGCTCGTGTGGGTCTGTGCATCCGTCTGAATAACACTCAGATTTGTTGGCCAGTTACGAGCTAATTGGGGAGCAGGGAAAAGTGCTCAAAAAAGGATGTTCCTACAAGTTTGGAGAAAGTCCCCGGGGTCTGCCAGGTCCCCGCAACGTGGCATCCACCCCAGGCCACCGTGCATCACCAAAGGCAGCACCCATGGGAGCCCGTCTCCTCCACGTGGCAGCACCGAAGCCGCTCACAACCTGGAAAAAAACCACCGGTGCTGTCACTCCGGCATTACTCACGGGCTGAAAATTAACCACATAATTATGTACCTCGCTAATCCTGGATCACTACCTAGGGCAGGTCTTCCCCCTTCTGAAAATAAGAATCCCAACTGCTTGTGGTCCTTCTCGCAACAGTAGGAAACTTTTGACCAATAAAAAAGTTTTGTACGGGCTGTCTTTTCTCTCTCTTCACCACTCCACCGTATTTCTGCTAGTTTTAAAAGAAATGAGCCAACAGTGGTACCGGTCAAATTGCTGCTAAGGAAGAGTTGTCTACCATGCCAAAGGTGTCATTGGTACTTATAGACACATCTCTGTGTTTATGGGCATTTGCAGGACCAGAGCACCTCAAGACGTTTTAAAAGGATGGCGTGATTTAGGTATATGACGTAATTCCCCCCTCCAAAACGCAAAGCGCTCCCCAGCTGTGATCAACACCAAAAGCAAACTGACAATGGAAACCAGGGCCACCCACACTACTCCCCTGTTGGAGCTAAGCACAGGTAGAGCTGGCAATTAAATATTTCTGCGGCACAGGAAAGACGACCGATAACAAGAGGCAATACGCGGTGCAGATGAGGTGAGTCACGCAAGCAACCTGAAGAGTGGGGAAGTAAAAAAAAAAAAAAAAAAAAAAAGCCATCGACGAATTAAATGAACAGGCAGACCTCTGCGACAGGGAGGTGCTTGATTTCCAGATGGGGTGCGCAGAGAGGGTATAAAAGCACTCCTGTCCCAGAACGCCTCATTCCCTCCTTGCCCCTTCGCTGCACGAGCATCTCGGGTAAGTGCGGCTATGCTGCGGGGCTTTGGGGCTCGGCACAGCATTCAAAATTCACTGGGAGGCAGACGGGTTTGGAGTGGGCTGAGCCCAGCGCCTTGTACTGGGTTGGGGCTTGCTCTGCGGGTGCTTGTGAGCTGGGAGATGGGGTGAGGAGGGAGCGCAGGGCATGCCGAAAGAGAGCAGAGAGATTTGGACTTGGAGGGAGACTCTGAGGCATTGCTCTCCTCCCTCCGGGAGCAAGATGGCTTTGGAAAGCCAGCCGTGGCCAGCCTGCCCAGCTGCTCTGGATGCTCCCAGCATCTTTGGCTATAGCTGGGGTGGGACAATCCCATGGGTTTGAAGAAGCTGGTGCAAGGTTTAAAGATGATTGTGGGATCTGGCTAAGACTGGATAAATGTACATCCAGATTTCTCTTCCCTGAAGAGCAGAAGCAGGCAAAGAAAGCCCCTGACAGCTCCTCTCTCCCCACAGGTCACCCCAAAACACAACGATGTGCTCCCGCCAGGAGAAGGACCAGTGCCACAAGCAGGAGCGCTACACCCGCCAGAGCAGCGGCGGCGGGCCCACCGCTT